CTATAGACCGGGAGATCCAGGATATGTTACAGATGGGTGTAATCCGCCCCTCTGGAATCATAGAATCATAGAATCATAGAATATCAGGGTTGGAAGGGACCCCAGAAGGTCATCTAGTCCAACCCCCTGCTCGAAGCAGGACCAATTCCCAGTTAAATCATCCCAGCCAGGGCTTTGTCAAGCCTGACCTTAAAAACCTCTAAGGAACGAGATTCTACCACCTCCCTAGGTAACGCATTCCAGTGTTTCACCACCCTCTTAGTGAAAAAGTTTTTTCCTAATATCCAATCTAAACCTCCCCCACTGCAACTTGAGACCATTACTCCTCGTTCTGTCATCTGCTACCATTGAGAACAGTCTAGAGCCATCCTCTTTGGAACCCCCTTTCAGGTAGTTGAAAGCAGCTATCAAATCCCCCCTCATTCTTCTCTTCTGCAGACTAAACAATCCCAGCTCCCTCAGCCTCTCCTCATAAGTCATGTGTTCTAGACCCCCTAATCATTTTTGTTGCCCTTCGCTGGACTCTCTCCAATTTATCCACATCCTTCTTGTAGTGTAGGGCCCAAAACTGGACACAGTACTCCAGATGAGGCCTCACCAATGTCGAATAGAGGGGAACGATCACGTCCCTCGATCTGCTCGCTATGCCCCTACTTATACATCACAAAATGCCATTGGCCTTCTTGGCAACAAGGGCACACTGCTGACTCATATCCAGCTTCTCATCCACTGTCACCCCTAGGTCCTTTTCCGCAGAACTGCTGCCTAGCCATTCGGCCCCCAGTCTGTAGCGGTGCATGGGATTCTTCCGTCCTAAGTGCAGGACCCTGCACTTATCCTTATTGAACCTCATCAGATTTCTTTTGGCCCAATCCTCCAATTTGTCTAGGTCCTTCTGTATCCTATCCCTCCCCTCCAGCGTATCTACCACTCCTCCCAGTTTAGTATCATCCGCAAATTTGCTGAGAGTGCAATCTACACCATCCTCCAGATCATTTATGAAGATATTGAACAAAACCGGCACCAGGACCGACCCCTGGGGCACTCCACTTGACACCGGCTGCCAACTAGACATGGAGCCATTGATCACTACCCGTTGAGCCCGACAATCTAGCCAGCTTTCTACCCACCTTATAGTGCATTCATCCAGCCCATACTTCCTTAACTTGCTGACAAGAATACTGTGGGAGACCGTGTCAAAAGCTTTGCTAAAGTCAAGAAACAATACATCCACTGCTTTCCCTTCATCCACAGAACCAGTAATCTCATCATAAAAGGCGATTAGATTAGTCAGGCATGACCTTCCCTTGGTGAATCCATGCTGGCTGTTCCTGATCACTTTCCTCTTATGCAAGTGCTTCAGGATTGATTCTTTGAGGACCTGCTCCATGATTTTTCCAGGGACTGAGGTGAGGCTGACTGGCCTGTAGTTCCCAGGATCCTCCTTCTTCCCTTTTTTAAAGATTGGCACTACATTAGCCTTTTTCCAGTCATCCGGGACTTCCCCCGTTCACCACGAGTTTTCAAAGATAATGGCCAATGGCTCTGCAATCACAGCCGCCAATTCCTTCAGCACTCTCGGATGCAACTCGTCCGGCCCCATGGACTTGTGCACGTCCAGCTTTTCTAAATAGTCCCTAACCACCTCTATCTCCACAGAGGGCTGGCCATCTCTTCCCCATTTTGTGATGCCCAGCGTAGCAGTCTGGGAGCTGACCTTGTTAGTGAAGACAGAGGCAAAAAAAGCATTGAGTACATTAGCTTTTTCCACATCCTCTGTCACTAGGTTGCCTCCCTCATTCAGTAAGGGGCCCACACTTTCCTTGGCTTTCTTCTTGTTGCCAACATACCTGAAGAAACCCTTCTTGTTACTCTTGACATCTCTTGCTAGCTGCAGCTCCAGGTGCGATTTGGCCCTCCTGATATCATTCCTACATGCCCGAGCAATAGTTTTATACTCTTCCCTGGTCATATGTCCAACCTTACACTTCTTGTAAGCTTCTTTTTTATGTTTAAGATCCGCTAGGATTTCACCATTAAGCCAAGCTGGTCGCCTGCCATATTTACTATTCTTTCGACTCATCGGGATGGTTTGTCCCTGTAACCTCAACAGGGATTCCTTGAAATACAGCCAGCTCTCCTGGACTCCTTTCCCCTTCATGTTAGTCCCCCAGGGGATCCTGGCCATCCGTTCCCTGAGGGAGTCGAAGTCTGCTTTCCTGAAGTCCAGGGTCCGTATCCTGCTGCTTACCTTTTTTCCCTGCGTCAGGATCCTGAACATGGGCATCTCCAGTGGTTCTAGTTCCCAAACCAGATGGGGAAATACGTTTTTGCGTGGACTACCGTAAGCTAAATGCTGTAACTCGCCCAGACAACTATCCAATGCCACGCACAGACGAACTATTAGAGAAACTGGGACGGGCCCAGTTCATCTCTACCTTGGACTTAACCAAGAGGTCCTGGCAAGTACCACTAGGTGAATCCGCCAAGGAAAGGTCAGCCTTCACCACACATCTCGGGCAATATGAATTTAATGTCCTCCCTTTCGGGCTGCGAAATGCACCCGCCACCTTCCAAAGACTTGTAGATGGTCTCCCAGCGGGATTAGGAGAATATGCAGTTGCCTACCTTGATGATGTGGCCATATTTTCGGATTCCTGGGCAGAACACCTGGAACATCTACAAAAAGTCCTTGAGCGCATAAGGGAGGCAGGACTAACTGTTAAGGCTAAGAAATATCAAATAGGCCTAAACAGAGTGACTTACCTTGGACACCAGGTGGGTCAAGGAACTATCAGCCCCCTACAGGCCAAAGTGGATACTATCCAAAAGTGGCCTGTCTCAAAGTCAAAGAAACAGGTTCAATCCTTCTTAGGCTTGGCCGGTTATTACAGACTATTTGTACTGCAATACAGCCAAATCGCCACCCCACTGACAGACCTAACCAAAAAGAAACAGCCAAATGCCGTTCAGTGGACCGAAAAGTGTCAGAAGGCCTTTAAGCAGCTTAAAGCGACACTCATGTCTGACCCTGTACTAAGGGCCCCAGATTTTGACAAACCGTTCCTAGTAACCACAGATGCGTCCGAGCATGGTGTGGGAGCAGTTTTAATGCAGAAAGGACCTGATCAAGAATTCCACCCTGTAGTGTTTCTCAGCAAGAAGCTTTCTGAGAGGGAAAGCAACTGGTCAGTCAGTGAAAAAGAATGTTACGCCATTGTCTACGCTCTGGAAAAGCTACGCCCATACGTTTGGGGACGGCGTTTCCACCTGCAAACCGACCATGCTGCACTACAGTGGCTTCATACCACCATGGGAAATAACAAAAAACTTATTCGGTGGAGTTTAGCTTTCCAAGATTTTGATTTCAACATCCAACACATCTCAGAAGCTTCTAACAAAGTGGCTGATGCACTCTCCTATGAAAGTTTCCCAGAATCAACTGGTTAAAATCGTCCTTGAGATGTGGAAAATATTGTTAGTCTTTATGTACTTGGTAGTATATTTAGAGCTCTGTTTTTCCTAGAGCTCCAGGAAGAAATCCCAGCCAGCGTTTCACCCTAGCTGAGATTTTGGGGGGGGTGTCATAAATATAAAGGGAAGGGTAAACCCCTTTAAAATCCCTCCTGGCCAGAGGAAAAATCCTCTCACCTGTAAAGGGTTAAGAAGCTAAAGGTAACCTCGCTGGCACCTGACCAAAATGACCAATGAGGAGACAAGATACTTTCAAAAGCTGGGAGGAGGGAGAGAAACAAAGGGTCTGTGTCTGTCCGTATGCTGCTTTTGCCAGGGATAGAACAGGAATGGAGTCTTAGAACTTTTAGTAAGTAATCTAGCTAGGTATGAGTTAGATTATGATTTCCTTAAATGGCTGAGAAAAGAACTGTGCTGAATAGAATGACTATTCCTGTCTGTGTACCTTTTTTGTAACTTAAGGTTTTGCCTAGAGGGATTCTCTGTGTTTTGAATCTAATTACCCTGTAAGGTATCTACCATCCTGATTTTACAGAGGGGATTTCTTTACTTCTATTTACTCCTATTTCTATTAAAAGTCTTCTTGTAAGAAAACTGAATGCTTTTTCATTCTTCTCAGATCCAAGGGTTTGCATCTGTGGTCACCTATGCAAATTGGTGAGGATTTTTACCAAACCTTTCCCAGGAAGTGGGGTGCAAGGGTTGGGAGGATTTTGGGGGAAAAGACGTGTCCAAACTACGTTTCCCAGTAAACCCAGATAAAGTTTGGTGGTGGCAGTGAAATCCAAGGGCAAAGGGTAAAATTAACTTGTACCTTGGGGAAGTTTTAACCTAAGCTGCTGAAAGTAAGCTTAGGCGGTTTTCATGCAGATCCCCACATCTGTACCCTAGATTTCAGAGTGGGGTAAGGAACCTTGACAAGCCCCAATGCCCCCCAGCCAGCCCCCCCCCAGCTTCCCCAGCCAACCCTAATGCCCCCCAGCCAGCCCCACTGCCTCCCAAGCCCCTGCACCCGCATTCCCCAGCGAGCCGTTTCCATGGAGACAGGCGGGGGCGGGGCCTGTACTCCGCTCGCCCCGCCGCGGAGCCATTTTGGCTCGAACCGCCGGTGCTGAGCCTGGGACGCGGAGCGGGGTGAGAGCGTCCTGCAGCCCAACGGGTTCCCCCGGCCAGCCCAGCCCCCTTCCAACACCCCCCGCCTAGGCCGGGCCGGGCCGGGCCGGGCCAGCCCCGCCCCGCCCCATCTGAACACCCCGGGCCCTCTGAACGACCAGGACCCTTCCCCGCCTTATACGCCGCGCACGGGCTCCGCAGCCAGCCCAGCCCCTCCCCATTTCCAGCCCCCTCGGAACACACCCCGCCCCCCCAAACGGGTCCCCCAGCCAGCCCAGCCCCTCCCCATTTCCATCCCCCCTCCAAACACGCCCCGCCAGCCCCTCTGAATGGCCACCTCAGCCCCGTCCAAACACCCCCTGCTCCCCCCCCCCGGCCAGCTTAGCCCCCTCCAAACACCTCCTCATCCCCCCAAATGACCACAGCCCTCCCAAACGGCCCCCTTGGCCAGGCCAGTCCCCTCCAAACACCCCTCCGCCCCCTGCCCAGGCTGCCTGACCTGCTGTTCTCTTCTCGCAGCCACCCCATGGCGCCTGGCCCAGCCCCGTGCACTGTCCGCAGCCCTGTTGTGCTGCAGGTGGGAGATGTGAAGACAGATCTGGCCCGGCCCGGTGTGGCCATCATCGACGTGGTCTTACCGCCCGCCCAGCCCCTGGATGTACGTGTGGGGGCGAGCCCCTGCCCGGGCTACAGGGCTGGGGGAGTCGCGCGTGGCCCTCCACCCCTCCTGCTCGTGCGCCATGGTAGGGGAGGGCGCTTAGTGACAGTTGCAGGGCTAGGGGGAGCTGCTGCAATGTCTACGGGGCTGGGTAGCCATGGTAGGGCCCCGGGCTCCCAACAAACTCTCTGGGATACGAAGGGTCCCCCAGGAGGAATAGGGCAGCTCCAGGGAAACCCTGGGTAGCAGGGCTGTACCGGTCCCCATCGGGTGCCAGTCTGCACACTGTGGGGTGCCCTGATGCAGCAGTGAGCTCAGGTCAGAGCCCCGGTTTGCTTAGCACACTCATTTGGACACTCATTTGGACTCCTTTGGGTAGGGTTCTCAGGGCAGACGGACCCAGGGTGGGCATCTGACACATGGGGACCCAGGTGCCATTGGCTGTGTGTTTGAGTAGCTCCCACTGCATCCAGTGACAGGGCGATGTACCCAAAGCAGCCAGGAGGGGCACTGCCACGGAGACAGGGAATAACACAGCCACCTGGGCCCGCTGGCCCCCTGCCAAAAAGCAGCATTTGGTGGCTGAATGCCAGGGGGGCTGTTGTACACTTGGGGCTCGAGGATGTTCCCATCAGTTTTGGAAGGGAAGATGCTCCTTGCATCACCCTGAAGTAGTTGGGTGGGAGGACTTGTGGACCTCGTCTCCACCAAGGGAAAGGCTCTGCGTTCAGCCGGCTGGACAGGAACAGGCCGGACACTTGGGGCACCTTATGCAGTGCGTTACAGACAGCTCTTGGAGTTGGGAGCAGGGCAGTTTTAGGCCCAGCCAGTGAACCAGCCTGTCCCAGAGCCATGGTAGTGACACAGAAGCTGAGGGAGAGCACCACTGGTGTGTTCCAGTTTTCTAGTATCTGGAGTGTAGCAGAGGGAGGGGCAGGATTTCAGAGCAGCGGCCAGAGACAGGTAGTCCAGAGTTACAGCCATCTCCCTGGGACTAGGGGTGCTGCCGGACAAGCATAGCAAAATGTGGGGCTTTGAAGCAGGCTTCTAAGTGTGGGTAGCTTGTATCGAAGAGTCTGGGGGACTGGTAGGTTTTCAACTGCCGTATTTCTATTTACTGTGTCAGGCTTGGGGCCAGGAGCTGTGTGTTCGGAGAGAGACAGGTTGTGAGGCCGAAGGGACCATTGTGCGGTTCTATCCAGACGTCCCGCATAGCACAGGACAAAGAATGTCCCCAGAATGATTCCTAGAGCAGCTCTGTTAGAGTGCCATCCAGTCTGGATTTAAACAGTGTCGGGGATGGAGAATCTAGCTCTGTGGGGCTGGGCATTCCCATGCCTTTCCTGCTGTCCATCGCACTGAGTGGACTCACTGGTGGATTGAAGATGTGGCTTAAAGGAGGCCGAGTGCATTACTTCTCTTGTGTGCTGGCAGGATCTCTCCATGTGGGTGGTGAGCAAGGTCTCCCCGTGGGGATACTTGCCTGTCTAGGTGGCAGAGGGCAAGCTCTCCCCGTGGGGTAGGCTCTCCCTGTGTGGGGACCTCCCTGGCTAGGCAGTAGAGGGCTGGCTCTCCCCATGGGGCAGGGTCGTGACCTGCCCGCTGGGTTGTCTCAGTTGCAGGAAATCGTCTTTAAGAACTCCTACACGGCTTTCCTGACTGTGCGGGTGCAGCGGCGCCGCCCCTGTGATGTGGGGCGTGAGGGTGCCAGGAAGTGGGTCACCTGCTTGTGGAATCACTGCCTGATGCCCAGCCCGCACACAGAGACCGGCTCCCAGGATTACTTCTCTCTCTTCAGGCATCAGGTCAGGACTCTCGACACCACTGGGACTGGGGGGCTGGGCCTATGGTAGCTGATTCCCCTGCAGCTAGAGCACAGTCAGGGCCCTGGCCACCACAGCCGGTACAAGTGCAGCTGGTCTGGGCCTGCCATGCCGGGGAGGAGAGAATGCTGGGGAGAAGCCAGGTGGTGCAGGCAGGCCAGCTGGGGACTTGCAGGAGGCTTGCTTCCCCTTTCTGCTGGGCTGCGGCTGAAACACTAAAGCAAGGCACGGGCTGCTTGTCCCAGCAGTTCCCATGGTGCTGCTCATAAAAGCAAACTCGATGTTGGGAATCCTGATCCCTGTGGTGTAATCAGGATCTCTTACTCCTCCCTGAATCATGTGTAGTGTTGTAGGGCTCCACCCCAGAACCAGCTGCCATTCAGTGCTGGGGCAGTGGATGAATTGCCCAGTGGAATTCTTGGCGATAAAATCTCTGCTTCCCCTCTGGCTGCTGCTGGGGGCATGGGCTGTCTCCCCTCCCTGACTCTGTGTCTCCAAGGCTGACAGACTTGATAGTTTATTGCATTGCGATAGTGCTGTGACTCCACCAGCACCATAGTGCTGGGACCCTCCCTGAGCTGCCAGTCCTCGTCCTTATCCTGCCTGGTGGAAAGGGCCTGGCGTGCGATTCTTGGCACCGATCTATAACTCCTGTCCAGCCATCCCACATTGGGCTCTGCTCTCTCCCCTCTAGCTCTGTCCCCTCACCAGAGCTGGCAGCCCTTGTGCCCCTGGCTCTAAAAACTAGCACCCAACCCCCTCACTGCAGCGGAGCTCTTGCTGCTCTGTTGTCTCTGGCAGATGCTTTGTGATGTGGATCAGGTGACTGCTGTGCGTTTGATTCTTCGCCAGCCCTCGCCCGTTTGGCTGAACTTCACCCTGGAGGAGCTGCGGCTCTACCCCAAGGACCAGCAGGTGAGTGACTGCCGGGGCGGTGTCAGGCTGCCCTTCCCCCATGGCAATGAATGCTGCACAAAATCACCTGTGGTTGGCGAGGCCGGAATCGCCCCTGGCCCTGCCTGCTGTGGAGCATCCAGCCCTGCAGGACTCATACTCTGCTAATCATCTCTGCCTCGGACTGCTTCCCACAGGTTCCACTGAGGTTGGGAAGCAGTTGCCCATCCCTTAGCCAGGGGCACCCTGTCTCCCCTCTCTGTGCTGTAAAGGCCACCCTCAAGAATGCAGATGCAGGGGGTACCGAATCCCACCCCATGTCCTGCCTGGCAGGGGCTGCCCCAGGCTCTGGGTTTGCCACATGAGGCTCTCCCCAGACCCCCCCACCCCCAGAACCCCGGGGAGCCCAGTGAAGTGCAGTTTGCAGCCTGGGCCATGGTGAATGTCCTCAGTGGTCTCAGGCTCCTGGCCATAGGGGCCTCTGTCTCTGTGGCCCAGGGAGTGTTTCCTACAGCACCCCCTGTCATCAGCCTGGCCCCAGCACTGATCACCTGCCTGTGCTGTGATTCTGAAGCCATCTGCACCAGCAGGGTTACAGTGACAGAGCAGACTGCCTGGGTGCCTGGGGAGGCAGCCAAGCAGGAGCAGCCGCACGCTCCGGCTGGACCCACACTCCTTTTGTTCGTGGCTACAGTGTAGTTCGCTTGGCCTAAGGAGTGTGTGCTGAACGCAGCAGCGGGGGCAGCAGGCAGCCTGTCCCTGTGAGCACGGAGGAGCCCGGCCTGCCTCCATCCATATGGCACATGGGGAGGGGGGCTCTGCTCTGCTTACCTGCCACCTTTGACCCCTTTCAGAGCCTGCAGACAGATTTCCCGACCTGGCTGTCTCACTTGGCCCCCCAGCAGCAGCCAGAAAACCTGCATGGGGTAAGCAGGCTCCTCATGAGCAGCGCTGGAACTGGGGTCTCCAGGGGAGCAGTGGGCATGTCCCGGCCAGGGTTGGGGTGTCCTGGGGGGAGAGGGCAGCAGGTGAGGTCCCTATAGGGGGTGGTGTGTCCTGGGGGGAGAGAGTGGGATGTCCCAGGGGGAAGGGCAACAAGTAGGTTCCTGGTCGAGCGTGGGGTGTTCTGGGGAGAGAAGGGGGGTCCTGGCTGGGGTGGGGTGTTCTGGGGAGGGCAGCGGGTAGGGTCCTGGCTGGAGGGGCGAGGGATGTCCCCTGCTGCAGACAGCTCATTTGGGCAGGGCAGGTGGATAAAGTGGTAACTGGGCTTGTGGGGGCCATGATCCCTGCCAGGTGTATTGGGATCTGCATGCACACTGATGCACTGCAGGAAGTGGTAGGGAGCTCCTGGACTCTGGGGAGTGGTAAATGTCGTGCAGCATGCTGGGTTATAGTTGAGAGCTGTGTGTCTGGGACAGGGGGACGGGCACCATAGTCTGCACTTGGCAAGCGCAGGTTAGCCCTGCCCGCCGGGAGCACATGGCCTGTTTGTGTTCCTCTTGCACGCGTGTCCTAGTACGAATACACACAAGGGCTAACGGCCAGCTGCCAGCACTGCTCAGCGAGCAAATTGCAACTGTCTGTTTGCATGTGCAATTTGAAAGCCAGGCCACAAGCCCTCCCCAGTCAGGGCACAGAAACAAGCCCCATGGCTGTCACTAGCCAGCTCAGCACAAGGAGCTGTTCGCAAGCTGCCTGCATAGAGAATTGCTTTCTGAATAACTTGGCCCCGACCACACCTGGGTGCTTCTCACCTACTTGGGCAGTTTGCAAACAGCAAAAGGCCAGATCCAGGGCCGTCCTTATCCATGCACAAAGTATGCAGCTGCGTAGGGCACCAGGAAATTTGGGGCACCACATTTCCTGGTGCCCTGCACAGCTGTATGCTGCTCCAGCCCCTGCCCCGCCTCTTCCCCAGGGCCCTGTCCCTGCTCTGCCCCAGCCCCGCCTCCACTCCGCCCCTTCCCCAAAGCCCCCATCCTGCTCTGCCCCGCCCTTTCCCACTCCAGCCCCGCCTCTTCCCACCCCTGAGGACTGCAGCAGGGCTGGGCCTGTGCTTACCCGGCGGCTGGAAGTGCAGCGACCTGGCCCCAGCCATGCCGCCATTGAGTGCTGGGGGGGTGGTTCCCCCTGCCCCCCAATCCAGCCCCTCCCCCGCGGAGGCATGGGGTCATGCCTCAGTGGGGTTGAGGGGGACCTGGGGGTGCTGGGTGGAGGGGCTAGGGGTGCAGCATAGCTGAGTGGAGGGTTGGAGACCCCGGTGCGGGGGAGGGGCCCTAGTGGCACAGTGCGACTCAGCCAGGGAGGGCCCAGTTTGAAATGGGCAGACTAGTGCAGAAAGAGCCTGCCCAGGGTGTGGAGATCCAGCTCTGTGATATTTGGTCAGTTGTGATTCCTGTCCCAGATCTTGCATTGCACGTGTGCTCTAGGTCCTTGTCACTCAGTTTCTCTTCTTAAATGGGGTGCCCCAGGACTGTGTCCTCAGCCCTTTGCTGCAGAATGCATCTTAGGTCAGTGAGGTTGGTGTTCCGGTGGCCACTGGGGCTGTTTGTGAACGCCAGGTGGTGGCAGCTATGGGTGCATGCTATGGAATGAGATATGCCTGGGGCTGTGCTCTTCGATTGCCCTGGGCAAAACCATGCTCAGGAGGCACTTGGAGGGCATTGGAGCCGAATGGGTTGGCTGGGCTGTCAGCTCAACCTGAGTCAAGCTGGAATTTTCAAGAGTTTTGGAAAAAATGGCGAATTAGTTTCTAAATTCTGTTCAGCTCTCCCTCGTTCCCCTGAGTTCCCATCTGGAGTCTCCTGGCTGTGGCCGCTCCAGCACAGTGTGTGCTGTGCAATCAGTCTGATTTTGTTAATTAACAGCAGCTTGGATTTGAGGTCCTGGCTGTCGGTTCCAGGCACACTTACCAACAGACACCGAGCTTGATGTGCTCAGCTGGGAAGACCATGGCTCATGGTAGCCGGGATCTTCCAGGAAGCAGCTGCTGCAGATTCGACACAGACCGGAGCACTTTGACTGTGCAGCTAGAGAGTGCTCCTGAACCAGTTGGGCAGCTCAGCTGAGAAGAGCAGGCCTGTGGCCAGGCTGACCCTGCAGCACCAAGCCCATCAGGAAGGGGTGTGATGTTCCAAAGCAGCGAGTAGGGAGCTCAGACAGCAGGCCTGGCTGGGGTAGAGTCCTGGTAGTGACGTCCGGTGCTGGCTGGAGCAGTCAGAGGTGTCGTGTGTGAACTCTTCCCAGTCCATCCCCTGCCTTGTGGTTTGCTCAGAGAGCAGCAGTGCCTCACGCATTGGGCGGGGTTTCTGTGCAGAGACTGCTGGTCATACTGCAGTTGGACCTGGAGGCCTCCCTGTGCCAGGTGCTGCCCCAAGGCTCATCATCTGAAAGCAGACAAAGCAGAGTGGAGCAATGAGACGAAGTGGGCTTGGGGGAGAGCAGGATAACCTGGGTGCATGCCCAGCTTCAGCACAGCCAGGAGCAGTGCCCACAACTCGCCTGGCTGGGGCGAGAGAGCACTTGGCCCGTGGGTAATGGGGAGATGAGGGTTACCCTACCTGTCTGGAGCTGCCTTCAGGAACACTCATCTCAATAACTGTTGCTTGTCTGCAGGGTATCCCCGACCCGGAAAAGGTGTCTACAGAAGTCCAGCAGCTGTGGGTACTAACAGAGATGATCCATGCAAACCAGACGGCAGCCCGAATCGGGCGTTTTGATGTTAGTTTCCAGTTAGCTCTGTTCATTGCCCACTGGGGCTGGCCCCCTGCTCTGGGCTTGCTGCGTGGCCCGGCATGCACCGAACAGGCGGAATGTACCTTGGGCACTGGCAGCATCTGCAGTCTGAGCTGCTCCCAGCTGGCCATGCTGTACAAAATGCCATCAAACTGCTGGGAAAGCTCCCAAGGGTTCCAGGTCCAGGAGTGTTGGAGGTAGGGAACTCTCACCTCCCCAGTCCCAGCCTCTCTGATGTTCCAGCTCCAATTCCACTATAATGGAGGAGATAGGCTGTATGGGGGCTCTCTGCTCCTGCAGTCCCAGCAGAGGTCCCTTGGGGGTGTATTGGGGGCTGTGGGCACCTGCAGTCCCAGCAGCAGCCCCTAGGGGACGTGTTGGGGGCTGTGGATGCCTGCAGTCCCAGCAGCGGCCCTAGGGGGTGCATCAGGGCTCTCGGCTCCTGCAGTCCCAGCCAGCCCCAGCAGGAGACAGCGGGGTGTCCCAATGGGAGTGACTTTGCTCTCTGTGTTCCAGGTGGATGGCTGTTACGACATCAATCTGCTCTCCTACACCTGAGCTCTGGCCCAGGCTGCCTGCCCCGAACTTACCGCCTGCACGGCATGTTTTCTTCATCGTTGATTGGAGTCTGCTTCAGCTCTCCACAGTCAAGAGGGTTGTTTTTTCTCCCTCCCTACCTGTTCTGTTTTCCCTCAGCATCTCCTACAGCATTTCTTGGGCTTCTCCGCTCCCTGGCGCTGGCCAGACTCCTCCGTCTGGATCTCCCTGGGGCCTGCAGAGTTCCTCTTCTGGCACCACATAAGCTCCCTGTTCTGGGCCTGGCAGGCATGTCCCAGTCTCCTGATCAAACCGTTCTGCGGGTGTTTGGCAAAATGCCCCCCCTCCCCAGAATTTCCGATTAAGCCGGCTGCCAGTGGGATCTGGGTTGTCAATAACCCTGCGGTCGGTGAAGCTCAAGGGATGTGCTGGGCTCCGGGAACAGAGTTACTGCCCTGAATGCTGTACCAGAGCCCTCCAAGCTTGGGGCTGCCTGGGGCTCAGCGTGGGGCTGGTGTGCTGCAGGCATGGGAGTTGTGGCACAGGGGAGGGACTGTGACATTCCCTGTTTGATTGCTATTGCCTGTGGGCACAGGTGGCATCCATCTGGCTGTGCTGTGGAAGGTGCTACCTAAAAGCCACAGGGGCTGGGGTTTGTCTCTCTCCCCTCCAGTGCTGCTGTTCTGGGCAAAACTCCCAGCAGCCCCATGCTCTGCTCCCGAGCACCCAGTCCCTTCATAACGCTGGGGTGTGGGCTAGTTCGAGGGTTCACCGGGCTGCTCAAAAAAGCAGGGGATGGGGTGTGTCTTGGGAACCCCTGCAGCAACTGAGCCCCACTTTGTGCCATTAACTCTCCCGGGAGGTGCAGTGGACAGTGCTGCCACCAGACATGGGGTAATGGCATGACTGCCACTTTCCCTGGTATTCAGGGCAGTGCCCATCTCTCCCTCGTCAGCGAGCCAGGCCTGAGCAATGGCAGGAGGTGAACAGCCTGGCCTCTCCCCATGTTCTTTCCAAGGGGGCTGGAGTAGCTGAGAACCTTCCAGCCTCCTCTGCATGTAACCTCGCGCCCACCCTGGGATTGGCTGGCCCCAGCATCCAGCTGGGAACCGAGGTCCAGAGAGACTTGCCCTGGGTCACGTAAGGAGTTTTTAGCAGAGCTGGGACATGAGCCCTGCTCTCCTGAATGCCAGCCTAGTGCCCTCCTCCAGGTCAATCCTTCCTGACTACATGCTTGGCTGCACGTGACTGGGCTGGGCTGAGTAGGATGTGGGTCTTGGGCTGCATGCTGTTCCCTCCAACAGTCAATGTGCCCTTGGGGATCTGACCTTTGTTCTGCCCGTCCCCGCAGGGGCATGCATCGTGCATTTGCTAGATCTGCACCCAGCTGCTCTAATAAACAACCCCCAAAGTTGAGCTGTGCTAGTGGTTTCTCCTTAGTGGAGCCGGGCTGGCACATGCCATCCTTTCTGCCAGGTCTGGGCATCATCACTTCCCTATGGCCCAGCTTGGGGGCTGCCTGGGCCCAACCCAGCCTTCCCTCAGCTCTTAGAAGAGGGGAGCTGGGGCTGAAGGGCCAGTGTCCATAGAGGGGACAAGGCCAGGTTTCAGGAGAGCTGGGGTGGGGATGTGTGTACAAGGACTCACCGTGCCCCAGGCTTGTGGAGGTGAATGAGGGGAAGGCAGTGTTACCCACACAATCTACAGCACCCGGCCTATACCCTACGGAGGGCTCAAGGCATCAACCAGTCAATTTACGCACCGCACCCTTTTACACCCTGAGCCCTTGGAAGGAAGGCACCAATCCTTATATGACCCAGGGTGCCAGGGCAGCCCTCACTGAAAATGTCAAGGGCAGGGCAGGCTGCAAAAGGGAGAGCAGATACTCCCAAAACTGATGGTTAACACTGAAGTTAAACTCTGCAACCAGTCACAAACTGTGATTCTGGTCCCCCACGCTCGTTATCAAGAGCAAAAAAAAAAAAAAAAAAATCACACAGCCCCCTTTATTGCATTCCAGTTCTCTGGCCCCCAGTCCGCACCTAGGTCCAGTACAGTGAGAAGTTGTTTAAAAGCTCTGCTCATATATACAAAATGTTCTAACCCCAAAGGGCCAGCCATGTTACCAGGTCAATACTAGTTTGGAACTTACCCAAAATACCAATCCTTTGGTGTCTAAAACTAAAGAGTATAAAGAAAAGAAAAAGAACAAGAAGAGAGTTATTAAATGGTGAAGCAGTCCGATACATACTTCAAAGTCCATATATCTGGTTCTTAGCAGTATTGGTGAGTTTGCTGGCTTGAAAGTCCCTCTGGAACACATGCACAGCTTGGATGGGTTATTCAGTCCTTGGTTCAGAGCTTCATTTGTAGAGAAGGTGCAGCAGCCTTTTATAGTCTTTATAGTCTTCTTTGTTTCAAACACAAGCTGCCCAGCACATGGCATGGAGAAGCCTTAGATTTCTGTCCGTAGAGTTCAAGCCCTTGCATGGCTTGCTGACTTATAAGGTGTAGTCCAGGGGTGGCCAACCTGTGGCTCCGGAGCCACATGCGGCTCTTCAGAAGCTAATATGTGGCTCCTTGAATAGGCACTGGCTACAGGGCTGGAGCTACAGGCGCCAACTTTCCAATGTGCTGGGAGGTGCTTGCTGGTCAACCCCTGGCTCTGCCACAGGCCTTGCCCCCATTCCACCCCTTCCCGCCCCCTCTCCTGAGCCTGCTGTGCCCCCTTCCTCTTCCCTTCCCCTCCAGAGCCTCCTCCACACCACAAAACAGCTAATGGAGGGGGAGGCACTGATTCGGTGGGGCTGCTGGTGGGTGGGAGGCACTCAGAGCAGGGGCGGGAGCTTATGGGCTGAGGCTGCTGATGTATTACTGTGGCTCTTTGGCAATGTACATTGGTGAAGTCTGGCTCCTTGGGCTCAGGCTGGCCACCCCTGGTGTAGTCCCTGGCTTTTTCAATGGGTTCATTGTATAGCTGATGACCCTTGATGGGCCATCAAACAGGCTAGACAGTGCTGATGCCAATCTATCTGGGGGTGTTACCCAGAAACACAGCATAAGTTTTGAAACAGATATATCATGCATATCTATAACTCACAAATCAAAAGTGATACAAACATATAAACTAGATCTTCATACTTAGCAAATCATAAGATTTTCAAAGATACCTTACATGGCATATCTGTCAGATTCCTTGTAATTTTATAATATATCAATATCACAAAAAGAACAGGAGTACTTGTATCCTCACACCTTCTTGTCAACTGTCTAAATGGGCCATTTTGATTATCACTACAAAAGTTTTTTTTTGTCCTGCTGATAATAGCTCATCTTAACTAATTATCTGTATGTGTGTGTATATATATATATATCTTACTATATGTTCCATTCTATGCATCCGATGAAGTGGGCTGTAGCCCACGAAAGCTTATGCTCTAATAAATTTGCTAGTCACTAAGATGCCGCAAGTACTCCTTTTTGCGGATACAGACTAACACGGCTGAAAAATATCACAAAGTGTTCCCCATATTTCATACAGCATCACACCTGTCATAAATATTAAGGGAAGGGTAATCACCTTTAAAATCCCTCCTGGCCAGAGGAAAAACCCTTTCATCTGTAAAGGGTTAAGAAGCTAGGATAACTTCACTGGTACCTGACCAAAATGACCAATGAGGAGACAAGATACTTTCAAAGCTGGAGGGGGGGAGAAACAAAGGCTCTGTCTGTCTGTGTGATGCTTTTGCTGGGAACAGAACAGGAATGGAGTCTTAGAACTTAGCAAGTAATCTAGCTAGATATGTGTTAGATTTTGTTTTCTTTAAATGGCTGAGAAAATAAGCTGTGCTGAATAGAATGGATATTCCTGGTTTTCTGTCTTTTTGTAACTTAAGATTTTGCCTAGAGGGATTCTCTATGTTTTGAAACTGATTACCCTGTAAGGTATTTACCGTCCTGATTTTATAGAGGTGATACTTTTACTTTTTTTTCTATTAAAATTCTTCTTTTAAGAACCTGTTTGCTTTTTTCATTGTTCTAAAGATCCAAGGGTTTGGGTCTGTGCTCACCTATGCAAATTGGTGAGGATTTTTATCAAGCCTTCCCCAGGAAAGGGGGTGTAGGGTTTGGGGAGGATTTTCGGGGGAAAGATGTTTCCAAGTGGGTTCTTTCCCGGTTTATATATCTGTTAGACTCTTGGTGGTAGCAGCAATAAAGTCCAAGGGAAAAAGGAAAATAGTTTGTACCTTGGGGAAGTTTTAACTTAAGCTGGTAAAAATAAGCTTAGGAGGTTTTCATGCAGGTCCCCACATCTGTACCCTAGAGTTCAGAGTGGGGAAGGAATCTTGACAACACCTTACCCGTGGGGCTCAGGGAGAAACCTGGACAATTTAATTACTCAGCCTTTTCCATGGGCTCAGGGCTCTATGGGTCTGCGGGCCCTTTTCCCAGCGAAAGAACCTTATGCAGCTGTGCTCTAAACATCTACTTATTAGCAACACACAGAGAATACATATATCGGGCAAATCTCTTATGCTCACCACTCCCAGTATACAGACAGATTTCACCCGATGGCCAGTCAGGATCCATTCATCTGGGGGTTCCCAGCGATGCCTCTACACATCATGGTCGTGCAGAGGGGTCAGGGTTCCAGCAGCTTGATGTTGAACTGCAATCAGGAAATGGTTCCCAGAGAGCTTTGTTTTTCATTTATACTCTGTAGGTAAAACTAGCTCCCTTCTTTACCTTCACTATCCTATCATACTATTCAGTACCCCTAGGTAACAAAATGGAACCAATCCTGCACTAGCACCTATGTTTTCTTCTCCCTGCTCAAGTCTTTTTTACATTTTTATCTCTCATGCCCTAATTGTAACTTATTTATGACATTCTCCTTTTTTCTGTCTGTGCAGATGGTCTGAGCTTAGCTTAGCTATTTTACCATTTGTTTGGGTCTTTCTGTTTCCTCCCTACAGTTCCCAATGCCTCAGGGAGGGGGGCTCTGCAGCCCTTGGTGTTATCACTTGTTAGGGACATTCCTGAGCTGGGGGAGGGGGTGCTCAGTGGCAGCCGAGCATTTTTTCTTAATCTTAATCGCAGTGAGTTTCACCCAAGGCAGATCAAGGCTGGTTTATGGGTGAGTTAGGTCCTAGCCCGACAGCAGTGCCTGTGGTGCTGGTCATAGGGGAAAGTGGCTTGTTCTGGGGGCAGCTGCTGCCCAGGGGGAGGTGCACCCAGAAGTGGTCAGCTCATGAAGTCCAGGGTTCAATTCTCCAGGGTTGGAATCTCTGCCAAAGTGGGGGAGTCAACCCCCCATCAGCCCCTTCACTGCTTCTCTGGCTCCAGGCACCTCACCACAGACAGCAATTCCTGGGGCTCCTGGCCCACCCCATTGCCCTGTGGCCTCCTCTCCCCAGGCTGCAACCTCTAGGGCCTGCGGCTCCCCATTTACACCACTTGAACCCCAGCTATTGTACAGAGCAGTGATACCACTGTAGGGGCCGAGCCACAGGTGCTGGACACACCCAGAACAAAGAGACGGTCCCTGCCCTGCTGACAGTCTAAGACCACATCTACACTACGCACTTCTGTCAACTTGAGTTACGTCAGCATACAGCTGCCACAGTTAGTACATCACTTGTGCACATGCACACGTGGCTCTGTGTCAGTGGTGCATGTACTCACCAGGAGTGCTCGTGTCAGGGCAGACTGCAGCACACCATGGGTGGGTATCTCACTCTGCAATTCACCACTATGCAGCGCAAGGTCTTTTGGGAAGTTTTGCAATTCCTGATGGGGCAGAAATGAGTCATGCAGGGGTGACTGGGAGCAAGGGGTCAACTTCCCAGTGTGCCACTGTCTCCATCTCATAATGTTAGCTGTATCCCATAATTTTCATGCCTTTTTTCAAAATCCCACAAACCCATGTCCCTCCTCGCTGTCCACCATCTCTGACAGAAGCCTGGAGCCTGCACAGCTCTGCACTATTGTTATAGCACTGAGAGCACAGGACGCATAATCCTGGAGTATTTGCAGAGCTGCAAGAAAAAACAACTAAGTGGGGAACATGCTGTTTAAGGATACATTTATGTCATGGAAGTCACGGAATCCATGACTTCTAGAGACAGCCTTGACATTTTCTTCTTCAGTCTTGGGGAGCCCCCGCAGGGTTCCAGCAACAAGCAACAGCCTCATGGTGGGCGAGGGAGGGTTTGGGTGAGTGGCTGAGGGAGTCCCGTTTTCTCTTTGGGAAATATGATCCCCCTTGCAGCTCCCAGCCAACGCAGTTGGGGACACCATGGAGCCGTAGTAGCCTGGGGTGCTGGATCCCCCACTTCCCATTTTGTCAGTTATTTTTAGTAAAAGTCATGGACAGGTCATGGATAATAAAGAAAAATTCACAGATGCTGTGACCTGTCCATGACTTTTACTAAAAATACTCGTGACAAAATCTTAGCCTTACTGATGATTCCTCAGAGGACAGATTGCTGTGGGACCAATTCAAGTTTACTGGTGGCATTCATGGTGCAGCTGCATATGGTGGAGTGCTGGTTCTGGGTCCAAGAAATGAGCACTGACTGGTGGGATCACATCACAATGCAGGCTTGGGCTGATGAGCAGGGGCTGCAGAGCATTCAGATGTGCAAGGCCACATTCCTGGATCTGTGCACTGGGCGCACCGCAGCCCTCCAGCACAGCCACACCAAATGAGAACACACTGACGGTGGAGCAGCGAGTGGCACTCACACTGTTGAAACGTGCAACATCAGATTGCTACTGGTCAGCTGGGAAATCCACCATAGGGACTGTTGTGATGCAAGCGTGTAGGGCCATTAACTGTCTCCTGCTGTGCAGGCCTGTGATACTCGGCAATGTGCAGGACTTAGTGGAGGGTTTCGCAGCAATGGGGTTCTCGAACTGTGGTGGGGCAACAGATGGCCCCCATAGCCCTACTTTGGCACCAGACCTCCTTACCATGGAGTGCATCAACAGAAAGGGCTACTTTTCTATGGTCATGCAAGTGCTGGTGGATCATTGGGGATGCTTCACCGACATCAGTGTTGGTCGATCAGGGAAGGTGCATAGATGCGCATCTTTAAGAACACAGGACTGTTCAGAAGCTGAAAGCAGGGACTTTTCTTCCTGACTGGCAGATTACTATTGGTGATGTTGCAATGCCAGGAGTCATTCTGCAACCCCCACCCGCCCCACCCCCCGGCCTAACCCTTGCTTCCGTCACTCATGAAGCCGTAAGCCAGCCACCTCAAGGGCACCCAGAAGCACTTCAACTATGAGCTCAGCAGGTGCAGAATGACAGTTGAATGTTCCTTTGGTCGTCTGAAGGCTCATGGTGGTGTTTACTTATAAGACTGGACCTCAGTGAGAAAAATATTCCAATGGTTGTAGCTGCCTGCTGTGTCCTGCATCATCTCTGTGAGGCAAGGGGGAAAAGCTGAGGGATGAGGTGGAGAGTCTGTCTGCTGAGTTTGAACCACCAGACACAAGGGCTATTATAAGAGCTCAGCACAGAGCTATAAGGCTCAGGGAGGGCTTTGACAGACCAATTTAACAGTGAGCCAGAGCAGTGTGTGTTGCTGCAGTGTGCTCTGCCTGGCCTTGTTCTCTTGTGGCCTGGTAGGAATGAGTTGGTGGTTGCAGTACATGTAGGGATGTAACACTGTCAATGCACCTATTAACTGTGTTTATGAATGATGTCATGAGCCATGTGACACTGGGCAGTAACAGGTCATTGGGTGCCTTCAGTACTGCTGAGCACTAGGCAGCATGTGTTCTGAACTAATAATGGTAAATTATGCTCCAAATAATAGAAATTTATTCTGTAACAAAATCAGTACAAAAACAAAACCCCCATGCAATGTGAAAACAAATACACTAAAAACTTAATAACTTAAGAGTCCAAAACTTAGAAAGGGGAAAGAGCCATCCATTTCAGCTACACATACACCAACCCTGGCTTTCCCAGGTCTGTGTATGTGAAGCTGATTATCTTTATTGTCGGCTGGGGTGGAGTGGTCGGGGTACTGCACTGACCCCTGATGCCACATGGGATGTTGAGGGGGTGTAGGAAGGTCCTAATATTGAGTTCTCAGTGGGATGCAGAGGGAGGCGAGCCCGTGATTGTTGAACCTGCAGGTCCACCAGAGTCTGCAGGGTCTGTGTTTGGTGCCTGATGAGCCCCATTATGTCCTGGTGCATCTCCCTGTCCTTTTCCTGCTGGGACTCCTGGGCCTCTCTTTCCTCCTCCAGGCTGTCTGCAGTGTTCACCCTCCAGGCCCTGTGCTCGCAGTGGGATGCAGCCCTGGCTTGCAGTGTCTCCTGGAAGTCATCCTGAGTCCTCTTCTTTCTCCTCCTCATCTGGCGCAGGCGTTCTGTGGGTGCAGAGGGAAAGACCCTGCAGGCCACAGCCGCAGGTAAAACACACACAGGTACCATTATCAGTCTGTTCACTACAGAAAGCAAAAGTTAAGATGCTGAACTCACTCGCTTGCTCCCTTAACTTGGTGAGCTTGGCATTCTCACTTCTGCTTGGGAGTGGCTTGTGCACGACGCTGGTCACAGCACAGCCATGGTGAGTGTGGCCCTAGGGCACGGGGGAAATAAGGGGGGAATTGTTCGCTGGCATAAATCATAGAATCATAGGACTGGAAGGGACCTAGAGAGGGCGTCTAGTCCAGTCCCCTGCACTCATGGCAGGCCTAAGTTTTCTCTAGATCTAGCAGTACAGGGTATTGGCACTGAATCCGGGCACCACACAGGTCATGGGGATTTTAGCGGATCTCTCACTCCAAAAGCCACCCGGGCCCATATGCTGCTAGCCTGTGCACTGCAAGGGCACCTGCTGAAGTTATTGCTGAGTGATGGGGGAAAGCGTCCTGCAATGGAAGAAATAAGGCTGCTCTGCCCAGAACTCTTTGGTAGAGGATTGCAGAGAACCTCCAGGAAAGTTTTATCTAGATCTCTACAGAGGATTCACAGGACATCCTGTGTATGTAAA